GCCAAGAGCCAGTGCGAAAAGGCGGGGGGGTGGTCAGCATGGTGTACTCCAGATTTCGTAATAAAAGGGAGGGGGTGTGGACCCTCCAAGGCAAGCCATTTCAGACCTCCCCCGTGGGAGAATCCTCCAAAACATCGTCCCCAGACCCCCCAGGCCCTCCAAGATAGCCTGGGAGAGACCCCCCCGAAATGAGACCCCCCTCCCTTTATTACGAAATCTGGAGTACCCGGGCGTGCACCCTCCAACACATTGCGGTTGTTTTGTGCAGGGATGGTGGGCCCGCGCGCACCAGACAATATGCGGACACCCCAACCGTTCCTGTCAGCAAACAGATCGAAGTGATCGACCCCCCCCCCCCTGCGCGTGGTTCAACAGTTGGATGCAAGTGCGCGTTCCATTTTTTTGGCAGGGATGGTGTGGGGAGGGAGGTTGGCATGTTTCTTGGTCGGCTGACGGTCGACTGGAGAGGGGTTTGTCAACAAGTAGCTGCGATGAATTTCTTCCCAAAGAAGAAGGAAGAGGATCGGACGAGGAAACGCTCTAGACCACCTCAGCCCAGACGGCTAGTGTAGTGGGTTTCTCCTATTCTCCTCTTGTACCCTCGTAACCTTCTCCCCTTCTTTCCATTTCCCGCTTCTCCCATTCTCGCCTTTTTCCCTTCTCCCCTCCTTCCCTGTCTCCCCCTTTCCCAAAACTTTCCCCAATCCCTTCTCCACAGAGGAGGGAGGATGTGTCTGTCAACTGATCCAGGTGCCTTCGGCAAGTCCCGCGACCGTGCCAGCTCATCACTCTGAGTTGCGAAATTTGGAGCACCGAAGGCCGTCACATGTGACACCTCTTGCGTCCACTTCTTGAGGAGCTCTCGTGGAATTCATTTGGCCCGTCCTGGGGCTGTCCTGGGCTCCTTCGGGACAGTCTTGGGGCTGCCTTGGGGCCCTATTGGGCCATCGTCGGGCCCTCCTGGACCGTGTTGGGGCTCCCCTTGGGCCGTCTCGGAGCCTTCTTCGCCGTCTCTGCGCTAGGCCGTCTCGGGTTCCTCCGAAGTCCTCCTTGGGCCGGCTTGGGGCGCTGTTGGGCACGTCATGGGCTGCCCAGGGGCTCCCTTGGGGATCCTGGTGCGCGTCCTCCGGGTCCCTGGAGGGCCGCAAGTGGGCGGATGCTTGGCAGATGAGCGTGGAGAACGGAGAGCACTGAAAACAAAGCGCGAGTCTGTATTTTGCAGTTCGAGGACTCCCTGGGGAGCGTCTCGGGGTGTCCGGGGGCCTCCTGGAGGCCTCTTTGGAGGTATTCGGCGTTTCTTGGGAGCTGTTGGGTGCCTCCTGAGGCACCGTTGGGCCATCCCGGCGGCCTTGGTGATTTTCTTGGGCCGTCTTGTAAGCCTTGGAGAATTTTGGGATGTCTCTCCAGGGTCACCCAGAAAGCCTCACGGGTGCTGGAAGGGGGGGGGGGACGTCAGAGGACTTGCGAAAACCGAGCCGTGAAGCACTTGGCACTCTACCACGCCTCAACGTTCCAGGGGGCACGGCGGCGGAGGTTCTCCCGGCTCCTCCCCTCCCCCTCCCTCCCCTCTCCTCCCCTCCCCCCCCCTCCCTCCTCCCCTTCCTCCCTCTCCTGTCCGATGGCGGCGGCCGCGGCGGCCCCGCAGAGAGCGTGCGTGCGGCCGGTCGTCAGGTGGTGCTGCGAGGCCAAGGGGGTGTGGTGCCCGCTGGTCGCGATGCCCACGACGACAACGGAGAGGCCCTTCGACTGCCGCGCGCGGGCCCCAAACTTCGCGCGCGAGGGGGCCCTCGAGGAGGAGGTTGGACGGGGAGGGGGAGGAGGAGGAGCGATGGGGGGGGATGGGGGAGGGTGGGGAGGGTGAGGAGGAGGAGGAGGAGGAGGCGGAGGAGGAGGAGGAGGAGGCGGAGGAGGAGGAGGAGGAAAAACACGAGGGGGATGGGGGAGGGCAGGAGAAGCGGGGAGTGCAAGGGGCGGAGGGAGGGGGTGGTGGAGGAGGCGGGGGGCGGCGAGGAGGGAGGAAGGCGGGCAGGCAGGGAGGAAGAAGACCTTGCTTTCGGGGCCTCTCGTCAGGGGACCTCGGGGCCTCCACCGCCTCCGTGGACCCAGGGACCTTTTGAGCCTTCCAGGTGCCCTTGGCCCGGCGAGATGGGGGAGGGGCCCCGGCGGGCTCCCGCCGCATTAGTTCGGACGGGGCCAGGACGAGGATGAATCCCTCCAGAGCGTTCCGCAACGCTCACAGAGCGTTCCGGAGAGCTGTGAGAAGGCCGCGGCGCGCAGTCCATCCTCCAGAGCCGCCGGATCTCAGGGCGTCTCGATTCATCCGTACCCGATCTTCAACCTCGTCCTAGCTTCGTTTTAGAGGGGCCCCGGCGGGCTCCCGCCACGTTGGGGAGGGCCCCTCGGGAGGGCCTGCACGGCGAGCGCCCCATCGGGCCGACTAGGTGCAGGGAGTTGGGTGCGGCTGCCGTCGCTGGCGCGCGGGCAGTCGGCGCTCCTCCTCGGCGAGGTGCGCCTCGCCGGGGGCAGCGTGGCCGATTTCCCGCGCCTCGCCGCGCAGCGCTTCGCGCAGCTTCCGAGGGCCCCAGACTGACCGCGACCTCGTTAGACGCCCGCGGCTGCGCGTGGCGCCTGCTGTCGGCCTGTCAAAGCATCGACGGTCAGGCGAAGACTCGGCCGCGCAGCGCGATAGAAATCGAGCGGCTCGAGCGGAGCCGTCCTGCGTCCACGTGGCCGCTGGAGGCACTCGGAAGTATGCGCGGCCTCGCGGCACCGAAGTCGAGGCTCTCCCACACGTGGCAGTCGGAAGTTTTTTGTTAAGGGAGAGCACGATGTTGAGAAGGGTTCGACATCCGCTTGTGTGACGGGTGGCTCTTGTGGCCCTAATTTGCATACAGCGTGTCCCCTGTTGCCTATCCGCCGGAGCAGTCGCCCTCTCTGCCCAGCCGCCGACGCAAACGTTGTGTGACGGGTGGAACTCGTAAGCTTGGGATTCTTAGGTGTGAGGAGTGCTCGGGCGAGAGATCCATCGACCCATCGACACAGGGGGGGGCCCGTGGGCTTCTGTCGGCCTGGCTGGACTCGGCAGGGGATGAACGAAGCGACCTTCCGAGACCCGGTCAGACCAGAGGTCAGGCACAGGCGCGCGACCATGACGGGGCTCGTTGCCCAGCAGTATGCATAATGTGAGCGGTATGTTCGGTTTCAGAGGGAATCGCGAGAAGGCCGCAGCCTGCTGTACCACGGTGATGCGCTGCCAGGCCATCGCGACAGGCCCGAACGGAAGTCCCGTTGGCACTCCCTGCGTCACCGTCACTGCCGCCAGTGCGCTCACTTTCTATGCGCGTGCAGCCGCTCCATCTGAAATGAGGAATCAACGCGGTTCTACGGAAACACGTTCGGGGCACGATATTTGAGTGCCCTCCCATACACTGCGAGGCATTGCACACGCCTCTTCGTCCCCACAACCATCCCTACATGGTAATGGATGTCGCATATTCGTCCGCAGCGACGGCACGCTATCGAAATGCAGCAGGCAGTGATCAACAAAATGGGAGAAATGCCCCCCAAACGCCCCCGTGTCCAGATGAGTATCGTTGGCCGCCGCCTAAATCTCGATCTCCCGACACTCGGAAGCCATCTCAAGGGTGCACATGCCGAAACATGTAAAATGTTCAAATCTACGGCAGGTCGCTGGACCCACCCCGAGGTAAGTACCTCCACCATTCAACAGACGTGCGGGCTCATACTGACAGGCTTCAACTGTTTGAGATCCGAGCGCCGAGAGGAGACTCTCACAATGGAGTTCGCCCGCCCACAGGACTCACGACAGGGAAATAACAAACGACGCCCGTCGCGCCACACGACCAATGTGGCAGGCAGGTGGGGTTCCAGAGACGTCAGGTATTGCCAGGTGATCCCTCGCGATTTCGTGAGGTTCACATGGGCCAAAGCTGAGCATCAGAGCCAGGAATCGCACAGGGCCGCTGCAAGTGCCACCTTTTTGGCTTTCTTCTATTCGTTTCACACACGACCGGGCGGAAAAGCCACCCTTTCTTCAGAGGCCCGTGCCGCTCATATATTGGTTATCGCGCGCGGGTGTATCGTTAGTTCATTGTGAGCTTTCCTTAGTTCATTGTTTCCTTTCTCTTACCTCCTCCTCCTCCTCCTCCTCCTTCTCCTCCTCCTCCCTCCCCCCTCCTCCTGCTCCTCCTTGTTCTCCTCCTCCTCCTCCTCGTTGATGTTTTAAATCTCACGGTTTGACCCTTCGGCGTTGGGGTTATAGTCCTGGGTCCCTCCTTCCATTCCCCTCCTCTCCGGCTCCTTCCCTCCTCTCCCTTCCCTGCCTCCCTCCTGCTCTTGTTCCTGCCCCCTCCCCTCTTTCCCCGCCGCCCCTCCGCGGTCGAGCGCGCGCGCAGAGGGGGGGGGGGCCATCCGAGGCTCTGACGTCGGAGGCTGCCCGCCAGGCGCCTCCGCCGGGAGGGTCAGTGGCGCGGGGAGGGGAAAAAGAGGAGGAGAAGGATGAGGAAGAGGAGGAACAGGAGGAGGAGGAGGAGGAGGAGTAGGAGGAGGAGGAAGAAGAGGAGGATGAGGAGGAAGAGGAGGAGGACGAGGAGGATCAGGAGGAAGAGGAGGAGGATGAGGAGGAGGAGGACGAGGAGGAGGAGGAGGAGCAGGAGGAGGAGGGGGAGGAGGAGGAGGAGGAGGAGCAGGATGAGGACTAGTGCAAGCCCAAGACCCATAGACGCTGTTGCAATAAACCCTCCCTCCAAGTTCCCTCGTCGGGCCCCTACAATTTTCATTTTCATCAGGGGAGTGCCCCGTTGGAAGACAACCGCATCAAGTTCCTGAACTGTGCCAGAACACCATTCCTTGGACTTCAACACCGCGATTCACCGTGCTGTTGCATCTTGACGATCCTGAATCGCGAAGAAACCATTCCTGTCAATTCAACACCGCGAATCCACGTAACTGTTGCGCCTTGATGGTCCGACATCGTGCCA